TTGTTCTTTAAAATACAACTTCATACATTTTCAACTCTTAAAAATCAATCGTTATGAGTGCTATAGGTGAAAACAATTTTTTGCCAAAATTTTGCAACTTTTCAACTTTTGAAAATCACCCTTTACAACATTGCAGTTTTTATAAACTAATTTAATAGATATAAATTGAAAAAAGTAGAATTAAATACAAAAAAATTTATTAACATAAAAAGGCACCATATATTCTAATACATTTACATAAATAGTTGAAAATATTTACATTTATAGGTAAAACAATTATAATATTAATTTTATTAATATATAGGTAAAACAATTATAATAGTAATTTTATCCATCATTAATTACACCGTCATCGTGATCTATGTCATCCTCATCTTCAATTATTGGTGGACTATTATTGCACCCTTCACCTGAGCACCCAAAACAAGTAGAGTTACAGTATAAACCAACTTTTCTGCACCCACATGAAACGCCGCATCCTTTTTTGCATTGGCAAAAAATAATTTTCAAAAGTTCATCGGGCGCAGGTTGTTTGTTCATTAGTACGGGTAATAACAAACCATCTTTGGAATACCATCCCCATTCTGTTGCTCTGATATTTTCATTGCCAAGCCATAGACATATGAGCAGATGTTTTATTCTGTTGTATGGGATTTCAAAATAAGAACGCTTAAAATTTCGAATGTATAACGCACCACTACCTAATATACCGGTTTTGTAGATTATTATGCTCCGACATATACTATTCTATACTAATGGAATTTTCCAGAAAAAAAATTAATTGGTTTTTTTAACGTATTTCCTTCATTTTTAACGATAGAGTGTTTCTTCACAAACGATTTGTAGAGGTTTTTAAGAGCTACAAGATTCTATGAATTAAATCTTTTTGGAACCCTTGGTTTTTAAATGGGGTGAGTTTAAAGGGCTCGACAAAGATGGTGCTTGATCGTAAATCGATACTTTAAACGGCTGTATCTCGCCAAATATTCACTGTACAACAAATCTAAGAAAGGAAAATTTTAGTCATTAAAAAAGCTACAATTTAGTACATTTTTATTTTTTTCATATATTCAGTATTTTCGGGGATATTTAAAACAAGAAGGGTAAAAAATATGAAATTGTAAATCGTTTCTCGCTTTAAGCTGTACTTTTTTTAAAACTAAGCATTTTAAATGGGTCAAACTTCTTGGACGTATTAACAATACATGTACAAAGAGAATTGCAGAAGGGTGAAACTCGATTTTAATTATGGGGATGGTTAGGGGGTTGTTTTAATCGATTTTTTTGTAAAAAATAAGGTATTGACCTTATTTTCATCATAATTCACTCAATTTTTGAGCTAGAGTCTTTTTTTTATGATAGGTCTATTTATTCTCTTTAAAAAAGGTTTTGTGAGTTTTCTTCCAAAAATGCATCATTTTCCCGATATTTGACTTTGAATCTTTCAAATTTGGCATTTGAAGAAAACCGCTGAACATTGATAGGCCGTATTTCGGTTTCTATTATATCGCAAAAACATTAAAAAAAAGAATTTTATTTGTCGTTTTAAAAGCTATAAATTTGTTCTCTACAATTTTTTTGATAAAATGCACCATTTTCGAGTTTTTCGCGAAAAATCTATTAAAAACGTCGAATTTCTCTCGATCGAAAAAATCGAGACAAGGTGGCAACCACCCCCAAGGCTTTGGCGCACTTTGGTTCGATATAGATTTTGATCCTTAGGCTATTACCTACCTTCTGTTAAAATTTCAAGTCAATCCAAGCAGAACGAAAAAATTGCGAGGTGAAATGCTTCATTTATTGGACTATAAGTGGTTTGACAGCATAATAAAATCGTAGATTTATGTGTAACTTTCAATTTTTATGATTTCAGAATCCAGCAGCCCGCTGAAGTATTGGATTTTTATAATATAATTATTTCACAACCTTTTGTTGGCCAACCACCTACAGCAGAATTGAGCCGAAATACATAATATTTCGTATGTTCCGAATTTATTTCGTTTAAATCTATATACATATATATATATATATATATATATATATATATATATATATATATATATATATATATATATATATATCTGTCATATGTGATTACATGATACAGAAACCTACCAAAATTCGAAAAAACGATTAGGCTTTTTTTTAATAGCATACTTCCACATGTTAAGGCATTGGATTCTAAAACAAAAATTGATTTTCGAATCAATGTACTCCAGTTGTTAAGTAATATGTAACCAACACCTTCCACGTCTACTATAAATGCTGAGTATCTTACGAATTGTCAAAATCTATCATGTAACAACACTCGTTTGCAAAGTTTGGATTTATCCAAATTTTAATTAAATATTTGTGACATTTTTTTTACTCAAAAACAATAATAATAAAAAAATTGTAACTTTGGCCTACTACATTTTTAAATATAATATTTTGTTATAAAGCTTTAATACATACCATTAACCATTCCTCAAGTGAAATTGGTCGTGCGTAGCATTTTCGTTATCGATTTTGCACAGAATGTACTCAAAAGTTTCTATGTTCATACAAATACAGTGAAAAAATCTATCTTTTTGGAGGTGGTTAAAAAGGTGATAAAATTTTCCGTATTTACATCGCTTTTTGTTTAAAGGATAAACTTTTTCAATAAAATACCATTTTTTAAAATTTGACACAGAAAGAATATCCTCCTCATCTTCTTCTTAGGGTGCCTGTCCGTTCCGAACGTTGTCGATCATTCTGACTATGATGACTGTTGGTTACACGGTTGGTTGGTTGGTAACACGAAATAGCTGTGTTGAGGTCTTTCTATACCATGCTCTCAGGTTAGAAAGCCAGGATATTCTTCATCGTCCTGGGGCCCTTTTTCCTTCAATTTTACCTTGTAAAATGCATTGAAGTAGCTCGTATCTGTCTTGATTTCTCATTATATGTCCCAAGTACTGCAGCTTACGACCGTTCACGATGTTGAACAAATCCGCGGTTGTGTTCATCCTCCGCAGCACTTGTTCATTGGTTACTTTGTCTGTCTATGGTGGAAAGATTCGAACGTAGTTATGAGGTTCGAATCGTTTGTAAATGCCCCTTTGTCCGCTTCTTATCGATCGATGATGATAAATATAATAAAAGGTTGAAGTTATGCAGAACAATGTTGATTTTATCGACAGCTACTAGTAATCACACAATATGATGTTCGTTAGGTAACTACTTATAATAAACTGTATTCACATGAGCTCAAATCCCCAATTTATAATCTCACAAATAATCTCACTTACACATGGTGAAACTATAAAAGATTAAGAAGTTGAGAATAATGTGAGATTACAAATTAAGGGGTTAATTTGTGATTAAACAATGGTTTCTTCAAGATCCTTCTAAATGACCATAGCTCAAAAGCCTGAAGTTTTGATAGAGTTTCCGTCTTCAATGTCCACGTTTCTACTCCGTACAGAAGCACTGAGTACACATAACATTTAAGGAGCCTTATTTTTGTTATTCCGAAATTCCTAAAAATCAAGGGGTCAAAATTACGGAATTTCTAAAACAAGTATCTTGAAGCTAAAGACAAATATACAAAAGTCACGGAAATAAACTGGCGAAAGATCTAGCATATGATTCTAGGACATAGGATTTGCAAAAATGGATAATCAATTTTCTTTACACTTCAGTACCGGAACCGTCCAAATCCAGTTAAATTTGGCAGCGATGCGTCATGTGATGGTTGTCGAACGTATGTCTACTACGTAAGGGCGCTAGAGTGGTTGTCCATTCCCCTTCAAGATTACTTAATTTCACTCACTGAGTGAAAACAATTTCCTACAAACTACAAACTCGAATTATAATACAAACTCGAATTATAATTATAATTATTAATAATATATATTTATACTTGGTATTGAAAATTTTTCTTTCCGATGCGACATTTAATCTCTTGGCTATTGTCCTACGACTCATTGATTATAGTTCTTAAGTAGTTGTATTGTGAGACTCGTTCAATTCAATAAGTCACTTATCTACATCAATAAATAACACCAGTTTTTTTTATTCATGAAATAAATAATTAAATTTAAATTAAATTAATTTAAAGTTGTTTCTAGTCTATTACCCCACGAAACGAAGCCGAAAAATCACTTGGAAAATCAAAAAAATTATTGGGTTCTATTATTAATTGGAATATCTGTGGGAAGTCAATAGAAAAGGCGTATTTAACTAAAATAATTAAACAGGCGTTTAACTGTTTTCCGTTTATAAAAACAAAACGAATGCACCGGGTAAGTTAAGAAACCCATCTATAACCGTTAGTTAGTTCCGTTGGTTTTATTGCATCGACGAAGTGAGTGCAAATTATTGGCTCCGAATCTACTCGTAGTATCAGAATACACAACATTTAAACGTATCGTGGGATTGGAGCATTACTCTAAAATGGAGAACGTTTAATTGTCAACGACGACTGTATAAATATCATATTAACTACTAATAATTTGGTAGTCTTCAGCTTTTACGGAAAATGCTCAAATAGTTAATTTATTTGAATGTTTATTTTGTGTATCGTCATTTTAAAACAGCGACAGAATTAATCAAAAATTTGGGAGTACGACAAGAGAATATGTAATATTACTTGCCATTTAAAACAATTTTAGAAAATGTGATATTACTTGCCATTTAAAACAATTCGTCATTTTGAATGATTACATGACTAAAACATAAAACAATGTACATGTACCACAGTTCAGTGATCAAAATATTTATTAATTTCAGTATTATAGCTCAGAAAATAGCCAAGAGTCGGAGACTGATTTATACGTGCATTGTACGATTAAAGCTATAAAAAAAGTATTTTATTATAAGGTATTATGGCCGATTATAAAATATATAGTAAACAAGTGTAATAAATACTATGTTTTTTATAAACAAAATAATAATAATAACGACAACTAAATGTCATTTTAGAAAGATATTCAACTCATTAAATGAAAAAACTAATACTAAAAATAAATAATTACCTCGATGTGGTGTTGGGCTCGGCTGTTGCAACAACGTAGCTAGACCATGATAAACCGCTCCGGCCTTTGCCACCTCCAACGTGACAATGCTACTGGTCCTCTGAAGGAACTCAGCGGCTTTTTCTTGTGTAATTCCAAGCAAAGACTGTCCGTCAACCGAGAGCAGTTGATCGCCAGCGGCTAAACGGCCGTCTCTATCAGCAGCACCGCCAGGTACCACCGATTTGATATAAATTCCTAGTCGTTCTTGGCCTGCTCCTTTCGCCGCCACTATCGACAAGCCCATACCGCCACCAGCTTTATGTAGCCTGATCACTTGAACCTACAAAATTGTAAAATTCAAAAATAATTGTTTTCAAAAAATAAGTGGTTCTATGAGGTTTTTCTTATGATATTTTAATCACGCTTAAATATCGACATTATAACAGATTCCTTTGTTTTTTCATTTATTTTATTAGAAACTGTCAAAGTATTATTAAACTGACATAAGAATCGTGAATCTTAAATAATTGTGCAGGCTATGTGGCGTCAATTATCTTACACGCAATCTATGCTCTGGATTCACAAAGATGACCAGATAAGAAAACTTGCGGCTAAACCCGTTAATAAAATCACGTAAATGCATATTAAATAAAAAAGGAAGAAGTATGCATAGTTATCTGTAACTTACCTCTGGCTGAGTCGTACTTAAAGCGCTTGGGGGTCTTGGCGCTGTCATATAAACAGTCCAATGGCCCGAGCTAGTTGGTTGGGCTGCCAGTCTGCATAGTCCCGAAGCTTGGAGGGGATGTAAGAAATCAGCTAAGCCAGGCGGCACACCTTGAACAACATCACAACTAAAACCGTCATCAGGAAGTAGTAATTGCAAGGTTGGAGCAGGATCTTCGTACAGCGTCACCTCCCGTCCTTCTGCTCTAGCCAATTCGTCTGCCACGCTTTCTGCTGCCTTGGCGGCTTGTTCCAAAAGGGACGGAGACGCGATTTTTTCCCCGGGTTCCGCTGTAACAGTTGAATGAAACATTAATCAATGTATATCCTACCTCATCCGTCACTAGTTTTAAATTTATGAAGAAATATTTATTAAATAAATACATTTATTTAATAAAGAAATAACATTGTTTGTACAGAAATAAAGGCTTTAGAAAATTTATAAAATAATATGTAATGTCTTTAAATAATTTAGAGCGTGCATTGCTAACGACATTGCTTCGTTGTTCTTTTTTTATACAGGTATCAAATTGATTTGCTAATTTAGCATTTTTTATTTATTTTAATAGTTCTTTTTTTCAATAACTAGACTTTTTTGGTATTTTTTATCCCAATTATGTGTGCACACGCACTTTATTGATAGTTATGTTACTAACTTAACCTAACATGTCTATTTACAAAATAACTGTACGAAAAGAATGGCTGACACGATTTTGTGATAAAAAGTCGTATTAGTCCAGTCGTCAGAGAGTTGACCCCTAAAAATCATACGAACAAGCTGAATTTTGCAGAGAATATTACCTCTGGGACACTAAAAGTTTACCACCTTTACCCCGGGCTTCCCCCTAAAACCTCCCTCGCAGGGGGATAAAAACACAAAAAAATCGATTTACCAAGAATTTGTACACCGTAGAAAAAAATGTTTTAAATAAAAAATTTAGCTGAGATAATTTTAAACAAAAATGTTTATAAGCATTTTGTGTATAGAATCAACCATTCTCTTAGAAACAACGCTTGAAGCGACCGTCGATTTTGCATTACAGTTCGTTGCGCGAAATCAATGTTCAATAAAAGTTGTATCAGCTCGACGGTAAAAATTCGATATCTTTTGATTTAAACGTCATATCGACAAAAGGACCTTTTCCTATCGTCCTATCAGGATGCGTTTTAAAGGCAAAGAGTGCAGTTTTCGTATGCAGTTTTTGTATTTTGCAGAGAATAAACTTAGTTTTTATAAAGGTTTTAAATAAATTATGGTGTCGCGATTTTTGCCATTTTTTACGATTCTCGTGAGATCAATAAAATTAATCACTTTCATTGACCAGTTGTACTTGAAATATAAAAACGCAGAATTTAATGTTTTACATTGCAAACGATCACACATCACGGGAAATGCATTTAAGATTTTTTTATTTGAAACCTTTATTTCTACAGTGTACATATTCTTGGTAAATTGATTTTTTTGCGTTTTTATTCCCTTGCGTGGGGGGTGTTAGGGGGAAGCCGGGGGGTAAAAGTGGTAAAACATTTTTGCATCTTTTTTGGAGTCGCATAATTGATATGCTCGACAAAATTGAGCTTGTTCGTATGATTTTTAGAGGTTCAATGGCATTTTCATCTCTGACGACTGAAATGAAAGGGGAGAACATAACGAATATATTAAGACAGAAAAAACAAAACAAAGCGACTACCAAAATGGCATTACACAGCATCTTCGTTATTAATGAATGTAGATATAGCGATATACCAGAGAGTACGGTATATCACACGAGAGTATGGATGATAATACACACTATAAAGTAAATTTGCTTTATTGGCATGAACATGGCCTCTGACTGAGTACAAAATAAACAACTAGCTGAATCCTTGCATATGACACATCACATAAAACGACGTGAGGAGACGTATTATGGTATATATAAGAAATACTGGATATTAGTGACTGTCGATATAAACAAATAACACAGTTTATTAGGACTACAGTCAGAAGTTTGGCCGGAATGTTCAAGAAACACTCTTTTGAGTTTTTGTCTAGCTTTCAAAATTGTTTTATTCCTTTTTCAAGACACAGTAATAAGAAGAATATGTAAATATTTATAAAATATCACAATTCGTCAGTGCAACTTACTAGTCGTTGAGACTATTTATAAAAAGCTTTGACACTCAACATTAATAACACACATATAAAATATAAAATAATGGACAAAATATATTCTAAAATTTTTGTTAAATTTAGGTAAGGATATTCAAACTTAGTTTATGATCTTTTGATGGTGTGTTTTAACTCTGATACATAGAGAACAAAAAGAAAAAACAATATGGTTAAAATGTAATTAGGTGTTATTAATATTATATTTCAAGAACCAAGGGGCCCATCCTGGGTGATTTTACTTTTTAATTTTTAAACCTGTCTTAATGGTATGCAACATGTTATGCATACAGGTGTATTATGACGTGTATATGTAGAGGTACATAAATATTTATTTTATTTTTGATATTTTTCCAGTATATTACTGGAAGGATAGCCTTTTAAGCTGTTCCAAATTTGCAACGTTTATATTTCGGCACGTTTATATTTCGTTTAGATTTCTTTGCTATCGCTTTGATGAATTGAAAAGTCATATATGACGCAAGAACATAATTCGTCAAACGCTCTTTCAATGGACTTGCCACACAGCGAATGCCACAATAGAGTCGAGTTTCGCTAGAGTGTTGATCTAGTATTGACTGAAGGCCAACCGCTTCTGCTGCAGAGTTTATCTAGCGGCAGTTCCGTACTCGGTCTTGGAGTATTGATCTGAGACAGACCCATTCTTTCCTGTGACTAAGTACTGATTAGTCTCTGTCCGCTTCTCGTCAGATCGAGTGATGATTGGCCCGTTCCATCTCTATTCCTTTAACTCGTCCTTTTCCGTCTTCGCCGCGTGTGTATTAACACACCGTAACTACTGTTTCGATTTTATGACATTAATTGTATTTTATTTTTCGCGGGTATTAAAACAGTGGGTCATCGAGTGGTCGATACAGCTGTACCTAGGATTTACGTTCGAATAATTCTGTACGTATCAGACATCTAGCACAATTGTTTAAATCTATCAAAAGTGAATGATTCAGATTAAAAGTTGTAAAATGCATGTTGGTAGCTGAATCCGTAAAATACTTGGGTCATATAATACCAAATAATTGTGTAAAACCACTGAAGGACAACTTAATTACAATAAAAAACTTTCAAATACCGAAAACAAAAAAATTTTACGTCAGTTATTGAGGATAAATTTTTACCATAAATATGTGCTAAATATAGCAATCAAATTATACCATAAAAAATATGTGCCAAATATAGCAATAAAATTGGATCCTTTGCACAAACTTCTGAGAAAAGGTCAACTATTTAATTGGACTAAAAAGTATGCCAAAAAACATTTGAAGATATAAAACTATATGATTATAGGACCAAATATGATTATAGAACAAATGAAGAGGACTAGGAAAATTTTGATTAGTGTCAGATTTGGGACCGGCCACAAAAACTTTCGAAATTATTTCCATAGACACAATTGACGGGTTTGGAAGTTCTAGATCAAAAAAAAATATTAACATCTTCTAATAGATATAATTACTTCACACAATATGCATATATCCTAACATCGAAAACGCAAACTGCAAATGGTTTTATCAAACTTGTTGCATATCAGAGACATATCCAATTGGTGCGTTACAGAAGCGGGGGAGGGTTGTGAGGGGGCAATGTGTTACGTAACATTTTTTTACTAAATTATAATATTGTTCTGAAGCTATTTTCTTGTGGCATTTTAAAGCAATTACTATTTTAATGGGAATAGGCCACAATTAAAGGTTAAAATACGTTTATTGACGTTTCAATCTCCACTTCGGAAATCGTTCTCAAAATACAAACATTAATAAATACTAATAAAAATAGTATGGAATTAAAATTAAATATTTTGTTTTCGTTGTCAGTAATACATAGGAACACGTTGAACAAAAAAAAAGTCGAAAAAAAAGCATGAAAATTGACAACGACTATGTTTCGGCAAAATATAAAAACACTTAAGATAACTTCCAGAATCCAGCAGAACCTAATCTGGTATGATATAGCATTCACTTCCCTTTAATCGCAATATTTCTTGCAAGTTATTAAATGCGCCGACGAAAGCTGCTGTTGTCGATCGTGAAATTATGTCTTTACCGGATTTCCTGTAGCCAACTTGCCCAATTGTTCAAATCCCAAGTAAGCTCGTGGTACCTAGTCAGTTAAATAAAGGATCATGCAAGTTTTTACCACTTCTTGTGAGGTTGTCCGTTGTTATGTCGCCTCTACTGAAAGGATTTAAGTATTTTTAAAGGTAGTTTGTAAGGTAGTTTTATAATTTCTTTTGTCCGTCACTACAATGCGACTTCAAGAACAGAATATGTGTAACTAATAAGATCGTTTTCACATCCCACAATAGTGCATCATACAGGGACTTGCTGCCAAAAGGGAAATGAGCTTCTCTGCATTGTGCGCTATTGAATCGAAGAAGGCGAAACATTGACCACGATGCACGTGGTTTAATAATTCCGAAGCCTTCTTTGTCTGCTCTCCGAATACCAGTATTGAAAGAATCTGAGTGGTTGACAAACCCATGGACAGAGGAGTAGTAAATTGATTTTTTTACATAGCATACCATTCTTATTAAAAAAAGATTTAGCAACTCCATCAGTACAGTTATGGCATACCCTGGCGCAGATATTGAATCTCATCACAACCCTTTAGTCGTCAATGCAAGTCAGGCTAAAACGAATAGAGAAAAATATCAGCAAAAGAACATTACTGTGTCAGATGTCAACAAAAGTAAAATAATAAATGATGTAAACAAGTACATGGAAGAAATAGAATAACCGAACATGTTGAGAAGGCATAAAAATTAAGAAATTATTTCGTGAACATATCGTCCCTACCATATCCAACTATCGAATGTGAATAGTGATACTTTTCAGAAGAGGAAGATTTTATATTTTTTATATTTAATGTTTAATCCTTGTTACGGATAGCGGGTAGCACTCATCTACAATCCCGGTAGAGGACAGGCTGCTACAGGGAGTGGCGTCCCTGCCGTACGCTAGCTACTGACCTTCTCCGAGGTCCAAGCCTTTAGGAGAGGCCAGGTCCACAACCTATCTTCATACTCATTTTCCAATCCTTACCACATCCCGATATATCCCGCTACCAATCCGCACTGGCCAGCGTGGTAGTGAAATGGCTAATTTTCCCCGTAAATGACACGACACAA